GGCCGACCCAGCAGCTGTCTGTCCTGTAGAAGCAGCAGGCATCTCTACCCAGGAGCCAATGGCCTGAGCCTCCTGAGGGTGGAAGTGCAGGACCTGAGCCCCCGTCGGGAGGAAGCGACGCAGTCTATTGAACCGGGCCACAGCCGCCGTGGCCGGCGCCACTCCACAACGACAAAGCAAACCCCTAAAGAACTCCAGAAAACGCGACCCCGAGAGCTTCCTGTCAAGAATAAAAGGACACTCCTCAGTGATCTGCCAGAGATCCTGCCGGGAAAGCTGAATCGCGGGCCACAGAAATTTGGACTCCGGCAGGGCTTCATGCAAGAAGAACGCCCGGAGCTCCGCGATCAAGTCGACACCGTAGAGCTTAAGGGCCGGGCTGGCCCAATTGTAGGCCGGACGGATCCCTTGCTTACGAGACTTACCCTCCGAACATCTGAATTCAAGCCAGGAGCCGTGATCCTTATGAAGCACAGAACGGCCAAAGTGCTCGAATCGGATGCACGACACAGCGGCCTGCACCACGAAGAGGGCAAGCATCCTCGGAGTACCTGTCAGCTCACTGCAAACCCGGAGAATGTTGAGGAATTCCCAGGGTTGGAGCTCAGCGGCTTGTGTTGCCATATGTCCGACAGCGTGAAAGCGGAACGGCTTCACCAAGAAATGGGACAAAGGAAAACAAGCCCCCAAGTTCTCATTAAACCAACGGAGCGCTGCAAACACAGCGGACGCCGCTGTTGGTCCTCCATGGCTCACCCGAAGCAGAAACTGCGAAACCCTATCGGGTGAGAGCTCTGAAACCTCAAACCCCTTATCAGCAGCGAAAGACTTCCACCGACGAAGGGTAGCGGTGAGCCCCCCAATGCGCCGAAGGGAAAGCCTCTTTGCCCCGACCATAGCACGCTCTGCCACCTGAGCAACAGACGAACTATCCGAAAGGTCGAGGCCATCAGCCCCAACATCGGCCAGGCTCAGAAACACCTCGCAGGCCAGCAGGAAGAGCGCGAGGAGCTTTCTCGGCTTCTGCTCCTGAGCGCTGACAGGTGGTTGAGGCCCGGATTCAGGTATGGTGATAACCGGAACCGGTGCGGCTGCCATTCTATGGGGAATGAGCATCTTAGCCTTAGGGGCGGCAGGGCGGGGAGGCAGGCTTAAGGAGCGCTTAAGGCAGGAGCTCGGCTCAAATCTTGACTGCCTCTCCAAGGTCAGTGCACGGATATTGGAGCGCAAAGCAACCTCTGCCCTGGACTTTGCCTTCTGGTATAGGGCCGCTACTTCCAAAGCAATGTCAGCATCAAGTAATTGTCCAGGGCCGGCCGACCACTCCGCCGCAATGTCACCAGCCGATGACCAGAAGTGACGCGGATCTGAAGCAGATGAAACCCCCAGCCCGTCGAGCCACAGTCTAACGGGAGGCCGCTGATCTGCCAACAAGTCAGCAAAATCTGGGTCCATTGCTTCAGCTAATTACCGACTGTCCCTGCTCGAGAGAACAGACGGCAACAGAAAAGTGTTGAATCGAAGAAGAAGATGACCTTGGCATTCAAGTTCATAGCAGACCCTACACCAACCAACCGTCCGACTATGAAACACAAGGTTCACACACACACATAGAGAGAGAAGCAGAGAGAGAACGCTCAACACAGTTTCAAGCGAAGCACTGATGCTCGCGGAAGACTTCGGGTGGCTATGAAAAATTGTGACTTCAGATTGCTGCCGGTTTACAGCGGCGGGCATGTAATCGCGAGAAACCTTTCACTGATACGCCAAGTACGGAAACAGTGTAGTTCTGGCTGGCCTCTGCAGGTACACTTGGTTGATCAAACCACCCTTACCCGTCCTGGAATAGCTTCGCTGGCACAAGTATCGAAAACAGGCCCGTGACCCATCTTTGGTACAACTCCTCGTGCTGTTTCCACAGCAGCGACACGAGCTTTCAATTGAGCAATGAGTCAGGACTTGGAGTAAAGTTTTAGCGATTGGCTGGCTTCTTTCATCCGCCGGATCTTGACTGTGATCAGACTCGAAAATCTTCTTTGGGCTTGAGCTCTCGACCGATGTAACAGCTGTTTCCTTTGCCACTCCGGCGGCACACAAACACACACACAATGCCCGACTCGTTCCTCTCGCACTTCCCTCTGACGTCCTTGTCAAACCCGCTTCTCTTCTGTCTAGAACATACGTACACTTCGCTGAATGCGACCAGTGTCGTCCAAATAGTTGACATATCCATTGATATCAAGTCAGGCTCCACCTGCAGCGAGCCATCGATGAAGCCTGCTTGCTGGGGCGGAAGACTTCTACGGAGAATCTGCGAACGAAACTAACCACACAATTTCAGTTGCTCTCACGCGCGATGGACTAGGAACTAGCGGTTGTGTTGCCTCCCGCACGGTACCCACATGGTGGGGTTGAAATAAGTCCGAGTGGAAGGTACCAAGGGTCACGTGATCTACGCTCAGAGGGGCGACGAAGGAAAAGAGGCACTACTGCGCAGCGTTAGCTAGCAACAGGAATCAGAAGTTCGAGGTCCTGGGTCTTGAGATGCAGATTTCCACCGTGTCTTTTGAAAGAACCAATACCCATCTGGGTTGAAGACCTGGTGGACTTTTCTGCTGCGCTTTGGCTCTTGGTGCTTCTGCCAGGGCACTGGAGACAGCGCCACGCAGCGCGGCCGTTTGTGAGCCAGAGGGATCCGGGTGCCCAGCTCCAATCCTAGATTTTGGCACTGCCCGCTTGACCGTTGAAGATCTCGTGATCAACAGCTTCGTGCATGAATCCACTTAAGCTACCCCCCTTGCAAAGCCGGGAAGCCATTGATGCGAGATGAAAACCACGAACATGCCTGAGGAAAAAATCTTTGTTTGCGAGTATCAGGTTGCGGTCTAAAAACCCCCTGGACACTCTCCACGCTGAGGACGATCATGAGCTCATGACGTCATCCAGTTAAAGTACTTTTCGGCAGCGCCGACAGCAGTTCACAAAAGGCTTTTTTTAACAGCTTCTGCCTACATGCCTGAGGAACGACAGGGTGCCAACGGAGATGCCCTAGCAGGCCCTGGCACATTCCTGGGCACCGCTCCTGGGTGCCACTCGTGAAGCAGCCCCTGGTCCATCAGAGCATCGTGGGCCTCCAGTCAGCAAAAACGCAAAGAACATCCCTTCGACAAATACGAGACTACAGGTCCTTCTGCCATGCGAAAGTGATGATCATGGTGCTCTGGAAGGCCTGTGGCGGGCCCTCCATTTGCAGGAAATCCGACACCTGCAAGCATGCAAGCTAGATCGCGTCTGTGCTGAAATGTTTTGCTTTCCTCCCGCAGACTCTGCAGCACGGCAGTCGTAGACACTGCTCATTCCTGTATGGAATCATTTTCCTGTGTGGCATCATCGAGGACATGATGCACCGACCTGACCTAACCAGTGTTTGCATGAATATGCAGCAGCACCGCCGCCTCATGCACAGTAAGGATTGATCGAAACCATGATCAAGATCCTTTCCCGGTGGCCTTCACCACGTACATTGGGAATAGACATGGGTGCCTGGGCGAGATCTGTACACTGTACATCAGAGCAAGGTGTGTCACGGCACTTCGCACACTTGCAAGAACCTTGCAGACAAAGCGGCACCATCACGTCGCAGTTGTTAGGGTCGTAAGAACCGGGGATGGGCTCGGGCTGCGGGGTACAGCAGCGGGACCCCATGGCGATGGAAACCACAAGGCGAGTCAGGTGCAACAGCTGCAAATGCCTGGGGCTCTTAACTTTGTTCAGGCCCTGCCGTATCAGAAACTTCATGTCTTGAGCGCCTGCCTTGCGATTCTGCTTCGTCATCTCCCTCGCTCGTCAAGCCGAGAAGGCTGCACGACACAAGTGCAACATTTCTGCTAACGCAGATTCCTTACTCACGGGCAGCAAAATTGAAGCAAAAGTTGCTTCGGGCCACCATCTCCTCAATAGTTAGGCTCTTCTGTCTTGCATATTCTGGTGTGGTGCATGCTGCCGGGTCTTTGTGGACGACTTCTTTGGAACATCCACGGGCTCCATGGTGACGTTGCGCACCGTGCCTGAACCATGGACTCAACCCGTGCTCAAAAGCAAAGTACTTCCAAACTCAGTCAAAACTACTATCAAAGCCTCCAGAAATCGTCTGGACTGTCTGGGGAAATCTGCGAACATGATCGGCCAGCCGCGCCACACCTGGAAGGATGTGCTGCGCATGTTCGTATCGCTTGCTTTGGGCAAGCAGGAAGGACAGAGTGAGCTGCGAGGCGACCTCCAAGAAATAACTGGCCCTAGATTCCTAGATGCTCTCTCGCCGACGAAACTAGGACCCCGTAGTCTTGCGAGAATAGGAATAAAGCTCAGCTGATGCCAGCAGCCAGCCTTCATGCAAAATGGCATCAACTCAAGATCCCGCACCGCCCGTTGGTAAAGTCGGAGACCCAGATCCATTGCAGAAAGTTCCCTGCTCGCTTGGCAGCCAAGACACCAACGTATCGCCTCACAGCGCTTTCTGGGGATATAGTCATGGTGCCAGTCCCAGCGCTAGAAAGTTCTTCAGATTCTTTCGTCGACCGAGCATGAATTTTACAGCGTTCTCTCTCGCGAGCGGGATAGTTGGAGCGGGCAAAACCATAATATGATGTTGTAAGTGTTCTGTGCACTCGAAAAGCTAGGTCAGGTGTGTCCAGCATGCGCGTTGTGCCAAACAGAGTTAACTAGAGTCTAGAGTTTGCGGAGCCTACACTGGGAGAGAGAGGTTGAGCCGGCTGTTGCATTGTCAAGCCATTGTTGCTTCGACCCTGGTAATGCAAAGAAGCAGGAGGTGAGGCAGATGAGTGGGTTAGGACCCGGTATCACTCGTTTCTTAGGAGGCTAGTTACCCACCTTTCGCTGCCCATTCAGTTTCCGGCACCCGACATGTCGTTCGTTGATGCAACTAGCAGTTCCTTCCACTAGCCAAGTAGGCGACACCGCTTGTGTGTTAAGACTGTTAAGGCGTGCTGATCCATTCGACAGTGCATGAGCGAGAATTCCACTTCCGCGTTGTCACTGTCCGGTCGGAATTTCCCGAAGCCGGACTTCAGCCATGTGGCGTCTCCTCCGGACGCTCACCGTTGGCATGGCCTGCGGGTCACGGAACGGATGCTTTCGTGCATGCAAACGGCAGTTCCAACTCCGTCCTGCGTCGCTGTCGCAGCTGAAAGACGGGTCAGCTGTGTGAAGCCTTTGCGCAGTAGCTTTCAGAGCAATGGCTACACGTGTTGCCCTTCAAGCTCATCTGTAAAGGGCATGGGCACAAGCTTCCGCAGCGTCCGTGCGCTGGAAACTCCACATAGCAACCGACGATAAGCTTGGATGCTGGCCAGCGCACAGGCCGCAGCGGTGAAGCGGCTCTTTGGGGAACTTCGGGCAGTGGCCTCAAACGTTCAAGCTGCAGTGTCCATCGAACAAAAGCCGCAACCTTTATATGGGATATTCTTTGAGTCAGCGAACATCTCGTCCATCAGCTGAAAGGATCCACGGCCTCCATGGCTCCGCAGCAATGCGACTACTTCGACGTTTGACTCACCAAGGCTGCCAGATCTGCCAGAACTTAGGACATGTACCCTGCCTGGCTGGCCTTCACATCTCCTGGGGGCATCCGCAGCCGGGTGCCTGGGCCTCAGCCGCGAGTCCGCTGGTCAATTCTTTGGACATGGACATGGGCATGGGTCGTCTCTGCCACTGAGCCTCGCGCCAACGAACCTGCCGAACCGGCGAAACAGCTCGCTGTGGGACCGGGACCTCCTGCATAGGCCTGATGGCGAGATATCCGTGCGACAAGTCGGGTTGGATACCACAGCTCTTCCCGCAGCCAGTACGAGGCACGATTCCTAGTGGTCGCACCTCCCTGGCCACGGCTCCAGCATCGGCCTGGACATTGGCTGCTGTACTGGCCAGTTGCTGCGCAACTGCGGTGGGAGTACAAAAACATGCCTTGCAGCTGGCGCGACGAAGGAGCCAGCCCTGAGTCACATGACGGCACCGAGAAAACTCATCAGCAAATGATACAGTGATACCCAAGGCTCCAGTTCAGCAATGGCGGATTCAGTTTTCACTAGCTTCATATGACTTCTTGATGGGAAGGAATGCTGAGAGATTGACAGTGGCAGCTGCCGCGCGGCGTAGACTGGCGAGCCTCTTGCCGTGTCTTGTCTTCGGCTGCAAGAGGCTCAGAGAGGCTAATGGAAAAAGGTTAGATTGATATCACTCTGCACAGCAAAATTCGAAATTCTGTCGACTGTCTTTGGACAGTACTTTAGCCTTCTCTTGGGGTGCTGTTTGCCCACGTGTCGTCGCAAGCATACCAGGCAGAGGCCAGGCAAGGACAGGCCAACGAAAGCTATCCCAAATTACGAGAGAGAAGCGAGCTCGGCGCAGGGCATTCTAGTGATCGCGTGCTCTTTATTGTCACGGTCAGTGCTACTATTGCATTGATGTCCACGCTACTCTTACTTTACGGTTGTTCATGCTGGCATCACGTTGTTCATAGACTCATCATAGATCTTTGTAGCCCCATTGTTGTCCAGTAGGAGACCCCGAATATCTAGATAGTTTGATTCCAAAGCAAATCCAAACTAAGCCAAGCCAAAGCAGGTGCGAAGACTTGGACATGGAGGCGCTTCCCGACGCACGGCGCAGTTGTGATGCACAGGCCGTGGCTCGCACGGGGGACACATGGTGCGCTAGGCACGCAAGGGAAATAAATCATAGGCTGCACAGGGCGCAATTCTGATGCTGACATTGTCATTGTTGACCCCTCCCACCAAGACGAACCTTTCAGTCCCGACCCCCTCTGTCCAAACCAATAGAAACCGGCCTGGCATCTGCCTGAGAAGCTCCACCTGCCGAGTTGCAAAGATGTCTGGCAGCTGCGACGATTGGTCACCCGTGCACCCTCAACCGAGAAAAAGCCCGTTAAGCACCGCGCACGAATCAGGCCGCAGACTCTCAGACAAGAAGACACAGAACAGCAACGAGGGTGAACGCCTGGCAACCCTCTCTTTTGCTCGAGTGGGCGAAACATGCAAAATAGTCATCAGCTGTTGACGCTCCCGCTCCCTTCGCAAAAAGCTACAGAACCACAACAACAACGACGGCGACGACAAAAAAAACAAGTGCTGCTTCTTTCCATGGTGTCGACTCTCTCGCGCTCGCACGAGGCAGGCAACAGTTCACGACGACTGCTCGACTGGTCCACACTGCAATGTCTGGGATGTACGTAAGATTTGCAGAATATCCTAGATGCCTTTGCTCACCGTGCCGGTGCTTCAACAGCTCTTGTCAAGTCCGTCAAGAGAACCTCAGACACTGTGGGGGAAACGAAAACCGATCCTAGACGTACAAATAGCGCTTGATGTTCTCCTTCCCGGTCATGGGCCATCCTCCTTCAGTCTTTCCTGCAGCCAACATCCCGAGGTTGGGGCAAGCCTGCTGCGACACGGGCGCTTGGACGGAGCCAGACTGGCTCGCGATCTTCTGAGGCCTGCATAGGAAATGGTGAGCGGCCCTTGCCCAAAACCCCAAGAACTATTTGCAATTTACTCTCGAATTGTCTGAAACCACTCTTCCAAGCTGCCTCGTACAAGCGTCTGCCCCTACACTACTTCGACCTCGGCTTTTCTCGAGGATGAGGACGGGTGAAAGGCCCATCTTCCGATACTGACCTGACCACCTCGCTCCCGTGGCCTGAACACAGGAATCATGTTCTCCGCTTGGGGGTACCGTGCAAGGCCTCGGGAGCCACACTCGATAGAATTGCACGGACCCTTTGACCGCAGTGTTGCTCGCAACATGTGGTCTGACTCAGTGTTTCCTTTCGTTCCCTCTACTCGTCCTCTGACTAGCTCATAGCCACTCCTCATCACCTCAGCGTCTGGATCACTCTGCAGGCTCCGGCCGATGCCAGACATCTCGCGCACCCCTGCGCCAGGCGTGGGAGGCTGCCTGTGTTGGCTCCTCTGCCAAATAGCCCATGACCACAATGGCTGGGTGGGAGCTTCAATGTCTGGCTTCTGAAAACGCACATAAACAAGCCTGTCTTCTGCTGGGCCTTGCACCTTGAATGTCCACATGCCTTGCCCTAGTTGAAACCTCATGCCCGAAAGGCAGTGTCAGAAATTCGGACACGTCAAGGACGAATGGCTTTGCACAGCATGCTTGGGTCGTGTCGCTTCATACTCGCACTTTCCACCAGTACTTAGCTTGCTCTGCTCCTCTCTCCGGCCGTGGCTTGCGCGTGGCAGTCTGCGCTTCCTGCAAACTTTGCGGATTTTCAATCTAAGCGCGCCGACTCTCGGCACTCTGCGGCACACCCTCGGCCCAGGCCCACATCAAGCTGCTTGCAAAACGCACAACCCGGCAGCCTGGAGCAGGATGGTGTGCTGCGGCAGGCACAACCAAGCTGCGAAAGCGCATCGGCACTGGCGACAGTCCTGGACATGATGCATCGTTTCGGCATTGACACCGCCCTCCTCTCTTACGGGCCAACAGCAATGGAGGCGCTTACGTTGTGAAGGCTCAATGCCCTGAACAGCGTTCTCGGCCTCGACTCGGCTGGGTGCACTCCTTTTGTACTGGAACTCCTCGAGCCGTCCTCAGAAGTCATGAGGAGGCGATCTACACGCTCTACATCTCAGTCTGCTCGGCTCTGCACACGTCGACTTTGGATCTGAACACTATTCCATGTCACCGGAAGGTGCCCAGAATCGTTGCACAACCTACTTCCGAAGTGCACAATGCACACACCAAAGTTGGTGCCGGGCAGAACTCCAGCGTGGACAGGTTGCCATGCGGCGCCTTGCAGGGCTGCACAATTGCGGTCAAAGTCCGCTTTTCTGGTGCAACATGGAATGAGCAATTCGGTGTGCCTGCACCACCAAAACCAGCATCCCGGGTTGCTTTGCTCCCGAACGATGTGTTCGGGCAGACTCGCCGATTCGCGCGACGCTTTGGAACTCGTGGAAATCACTACTCATGGAACAGGTCGCACTCCAGCAAATGGCACTTCTCTACACGATAGAACAAGGCGTGGCCGCACTGTTTAGTGCTTCTTCTTATGCCAGCGCGGACTCGCAGAAACACTGGCTATAGCCGAGGCCCTGATCTGGACGCCAACCCGAACCACAGCTCGAGAGACCCATCGCAGGCTCTAGCCAATGCCTCGCCTGAAGCCATGCCAACAGCTTGGGCGGAGTCCGTCTGCACGCAGAAGGGTGCCTGCAGCTCTATCATTCGTGATTCTTCACTGCGTTTCTTGCTGTCAGTTCCAACCCAAGAAACCATCAATTCATTAACCCTTGGACTTGACAAACTCGTGTAGAACATGCCCTGCATGATGTGCATGGTGGCGCTTGCCACCAACACGAGATATGCACATCATGCTTCACATCCATGAAAAGGGCCCCCCAAAAGGCGCGTTCTCTAAGGACCCCTTCCTTTTTTGGGGGGGTGTTGTTGGAGATCCTCCGACAACGAAAGCGTGCGCGATTGGGCCTGGCCTGGCCCTCCGCTTTAGGCGGAGCCGCGAGGACTCGCGGCGGACAAGGCCTCCGGCCGCGCACTCCGCTCCACAGGGAGAGAGTCAGAGACGACGAAAAGCCCTGGACGTGACCCGCTTCTGTCTGAGCACCTAGAGACGGAGGCTCGACGATCCGACCACGAAAGCCACGCCCTTTTGCTGTGCAGCAACTGCAAGGTGAGTTTGTAGGTTTGCAGCATCGCCAAAAGCTCAATGTCCACCATCTGGCCTGAACCCCACTTGTCAAACGGGTTGCATCCGCAACTGCGGAAAAGGTGTTTGTCTGACAGGCCATCGGCTGACACAGAGCATCGCATCCCCCCGAACACTTCTCTGCTCAATCTGCAGCTGCAAGAGTTTGGCCTGTCAGCCGACCTCCTCCTGCAACTGGCAAACCGAGTGATTCAGGCAGGTGCGCGTGGCCGCATGAAGATATGGACACGTCCCCGCAGAGAGCAGGCACGATACTTAAGTCAACTCAGGCTACCTCCATTATGTTGCTCTGCAACACCAGCCCAGGACGAAACAGCTACTGTAACCACTTCTTTGCCACTAACTAATTTTGCAGGCTAAGGCATTGCATTCGGGCTCGGTGGTCTACTTGAGACAGGACCCAATCGAAAACAGAAAAAACAAAATGAAAAGGGTGCAGCGCACAGTACTACAGATTCTAGCTAACTAATTGCAGGCATGTGGTTCGCGTCTTCTCAAACAAAGTGCCCACATCCTCCCGGCCGCAGCCAAATGCATGCATAGAAGCTAGCACGACAAAGTGCCAGAAAGCCTTCACTGCTCGAGCAAATGGTCGTGGAACTTTGTGCTGGGGGCATCAGCTTTGCGCAAACGTCTGTCCTGCTCTCAGCCCTCGTCTGGTAGGAAGCATGTAGTCCCTGCTGCTCTTACTTTGCTAACTCATCATCACTATTGCATTGTCACAAGGGCCAGGTCATGTCAGGCAAAGCGTGTCAGTCACACTTTCACCTCACCTGCGCAGCTGCCGGATGTCCAAGGTATATACTGTATATACTGCATCGGCATTCAAACTGGGTGGTCGACAGACACAGAAACCGCACAAGGGCTACGTGGTCAAGTGAGCATTTGTGCTTTGTTTGCCCGAAGCTCTGTGACGGTATTGTAAGTAAAGGTATGGCACATCTATGTTGTCACCGAAGTTTGACTTGGTTCTAGGCTCACTGTCACTGCTTGCGGTAGTGACTCGTCTTCTGTTGGAACAAGTGTAAAGCCTAAAACCAGGCATCCAATCGAGCACCCAGCCTGAACAGCTTCTTTACAAGAGCCGACAGAAGGCGGCACATCTACATGCAAAATGAGGGAGGTCGCTGAAAAGGCATTTTCTGACGATTCATCAAAGCCTCCGCAAGTCAATTCAAGGGTCTGGCTCCTTTTGGCAACTGTGAGGCAACGATGTCCGTGCACTGGACAGAGTTTGTCGCGGTTGAGGAGATTTTTAGGGGGCGCCATAGCAAGCACAACGTAGACCAAATTCGAGTACCGAGTCCCAGGGAGTCTCAGCGGGATTAACCTGCTCGAGATGTAGGTGGACAACAGAGAAAGCGGTATCGAAGATCTGGAGCACAAGCCTTCAGGAATTGCCAAAAAAACGAAACGACAGCCATTCCTCATGAAACTGATGATTACCGAGCCTGTTTAGGCGTGGTTGTGGGCCAAATGGCACATGCCCGAACTATCGCCCGCTTTCAGCCTGATCTTCATGATCCTAAACAGCCCCACATGACAAGCTGGGATTGGCTGCGACTGAATCTTGTTCGTCATGACCGAGAAGTTCTAGCAGAAAGCCGGCTAGTCTAACAGACGTGGCAGCTAGGATGGGTACCGTCTGCAAGCTGCCAGTCGAGTGGGCCCAGCGGAAAAAGGGAGCTGGAGCACTGCACGGAACATTCCAGCTTCTGCACACCTCGCTTTCTCTACCACCGGGTCGAGTTGACATCTTTGATTTTAACCGTTCGTTCGACAGTGTGACTCAGGCATGGCTGCAGCATGCTGGGCAGAATCCATAAATTCGACAGGCACCCTCAGCAAACAAGTGGCCGCAAGGAGGCAACTTACAGTAGCGGCACAAGCGCTTTCAGCCAATCGTCCAAGTTCCTGAATTCGGCTCAAGCCAACTGCTTGTCCACACATGCCGGAGTGTACATAGATTGAGGTGTACAAAGCTGTGCATAAAGATGAGATCTCGCGTTTCACCGGACTGAAGTACGGCAACTTCAGCCTGATCATGGTGCAGCTCCCTGCCACCGCATCGTACTTGCCGGGGCCCTGCCTGCTGTGCAAAATTGCCAGTGTAACAGCGGGCGGCTTCAGCCGCAGATCGCAGGCAAACTGCGAATCAAGTTGGCACAGACCTGATCCAAGTCTCGGTAGGCTACCTTGCCAGCATCCCCGTGGCAATGCTTTCTGCCACGCTGCCAGCAAGAAATGTTTTGAATCAGTGCACATTAGTAATGCCCTGGAGGTTTCCTAGTTAACTTTCTAAACAAAATGTCAGGAAGCGACGGATGGGACCCTGGAAGGGTCATAAGTGTCGCCTGTGCCCAGAGCAGGTCAGGATGTGCCTAGAAGGTCACCGGGAAGCCCGATATTGGCCCTCACGTGTCACCCATCATTTCAGTACAGCTGGAGATGGGGCTGTGAAGAGCCGTCAAAATGACAAAAGCCACAGAGGCTGGCACCAGCAGATTGACGCTGTTGCAAATACAGTGCCTCACAAAAGATCTTTCTCATTCTCGGGCTAACTAGAGAGTGGACAGCCTCAACACCATGGCTGTGCTTAGACGGACCATGGCGACAAAATTCATGCAGTCGAGATCTTACAGCATCAGGTGCTGAGTCCCTTGCGTACCCACGACAACAAATGCAAACCCTACTTAATAGGAGTTTGGTCGCTAAACCGATGAAGCATTATTCCAGCTCGTTGACTTTCTTCCTCGACCTGCACGACAACTCCCGCGCTGTGTCCTTTTGCCGAACTGCGACCGCGGGCGCCACAGCACAACGGTAGGGAATCAGTGACCAGACGGCCTACTTCCCAGCACTCAGGGCCTCAGGGAGACTGAACGGCTGGCGAGTGCGGGCGAAGTGCTTCACCAGCCGCGAGGGTAATCAAGACCAGAATCCTCAAGGCCACAAACAATCGACAAAGCAAACGTGAGGTGGGATTTCGCCGATTGCTTGCATGACCACAAGATGCAGTCAGAAACAAACACGGAGGTATCCTGTCTATGACAGTTGACATAATCACGGTTACGGGCCAACTTGCATGCAACTTCATTCCTTTTCGAAACCGGCTTGACGTGCTTTTGACTGCATTTTATGCCAAGGTTCGGTGCCATTTGCAGCATGTTGTCGGGAGTCATCTCGGCTTTGGTCCACAAGGCCTCACTCGTCAATACAGCTCAGGCAGGGTGGAGCAAGGTCGCCGCCAGTATCGTTGGAGGATTTGTCGTTGTCATTGGATAAGCTTTAAGCACAAAGTCCCGAACTCCTAGCTGCTCCTGCTGTGCTCAATCTAAAAGCTGGGATGGCCGGCCATAAGTGCGGAGCATGCTCCCGCCATGTCCACAACGGCCTCCAAGGATTGCATGCCGAGTTGACCGGGCACTGCACCATACTGCGTGCACAACGCAGAAGAACATGCAGAGCTGGAGACTTCCATGTTTCAGCCGCACACTAATGAAACCATTCCGGAATTCGACCTCGCCACGATGTTGTACACCCTTGGAAGCAGAGTGCAATTGGGCCCTCTTCCGACAGCCCCTGATACCACTGAAAGCACACCTGCCAAACAGCGACGCGCCTCCAGCCCATCCACCAGCTCATCGATGCCTCCGGTTCACATGAAGTATAACCAAAAGCGGTTGACATCCTCAACTGTCTACACCACGAACACCGGGATGATACAGGATGCCATGCTCAAAGTGGCGGCTTTTAGCCGATGCCCTGTGCAGAGCTGCTGGGCACCATGACATGCTTTCTGATTCGGCTTGTCAGTTTCTATCGTATTTCTGCCGATGGCTTGTTCGGGCACACAACTGTCTGGACAGCTTGCGAAGAGGTGTATCCTGGGCTGTGGGATCATCGCCAAGGTGCAGTTGACGAACAATGCTCGACATTGGTCCATCTTCTCCTCGGATCGGCACGAGCGGGTTGTTCTGTAGAAAGGGGCGGGATCCACATGATGCGTGCCAGTCCTGCAAAACGACACTGTCTCACTGAGAGAAAACTCCTCAGCCCCTGTCTCGCACGGAGGTGTGCTCTTTCTGCAGGATGCAATGAAGCCCCTCGTTGAAGTGGGTGCAGCTGGCCAGGCCTGCTCCAATCAAACTTCCCATATATCGCCAAGATGTAAGTCTGCGGCCCCTGAATCCTCCACTTCTGAAACATTTCTGTTCCCGATGCATGGACACAGAATTCTGCAAGTGGTGTGGCCTTTGCGCTTCGCTTGCAGCTTCAGCGCCTCACCTCCCCACCAGGCCCAAGCTAACTCCCACAAGACCAGTGCAGTCGCTAGACTACGAGTCGAAGCTTATATGGGTGCTAGACCACTCCGAGCATGGCACAGCTGCAGGTCACTATGGCCCTATGCCTACATGACATTTGACAAGTCACAGACCGGAGACAGCCAACCTCAGCTGTTTGTTCAGATCTAGGCGCTGCTAGGCACGCAAGCGGAAAGGATAAGTGACAAGATCTTGATCGCAGATGCAGCTGGTATGTTACAGACCATGGCACCATCTGCAGAAGGCTGTTCGGGAGCGCTCTGAGCAGGGCTGGGTTCGCAAACCTTAGCGCAGTGATCGATCTTGGGCAATGGCTGCGCATGCTGCGCGAGCCGCGCGAGTAATTAAGACCTTCAAAGGCTTTGAAGATCCGGGTGAAGGGGAAGAGAACACGGAGCTGATGTAGTACCAATTGTCAATGCAACACGCAAAGGCTGAAGAAACCTGCGTTAGCTTTGCACTGTCTCGGCACTTGGGACACTGTCCAGCAA